GAAGCGTGACGACTGATTCTAGCAGTGGTATATCGATGAGTATCGGGGGTCGGAGTCTCGCCAGCGAGGATTCGGACGGGTTGACACCCAGTGTTGTCTTCTCACAGATCATGAACCCCAAGGGCCGTTGACCAAGTTTTAATCCAATCATGTAGTGTGTACTATATTACTATTATTCTTTTTACTCTTAATGCTAGGAAGGATCGCCTTCAATTAATTCCCCTCCTTTTTTGCAAGTTGAATTTACTGCTTGACAGTGGAAAGAAATGTGCTTGTTCTTTGTACCCATAACGTTGAAGAGCTTTTGTTCGGTTGTGATGTTTTAATGTCGTTATCATTATTGCCATATATATCCATACACATAAATATAGTTCTTGATTATTTTTTTGTTATTATGGAGTATGGACTAAAGAATTTGTTTACTATCCAGAAGACCAGAACACCGACAATAAGATCATTAGGCATGGACCGTCCTAATTTTTCACATTTTGAGTATCACTAAACACTAGCTTCCATTTGTTGCAAACAAGTGTTTACACTTCATATGTTTTTGTAGAAATAAATCATCCCTTTTTTAGCAACCGATAATGCGATAATATATTTACGCTATAGGCAATAATATCGAAATTACTTAACATGAGTCGCTTTGTAACGCAAAATTGATTGTCAGATTATTTATTTATATAACCGAATCGGCGAATCAGATTGAAAAATTGAAATTGTTGAAGTTGTTAATGAAAATGACAAAAGAGGAACTTTAGCGCACCAATTACGGTGTTGTTGTGAGATTAAAAGGTCATGGATTCAAGAGGTCGAGTTAAAATCTTGGGAGTGACGTTTTAATTTGTCAAAATGATAAGGGAAAGCTTTCTCCTTGTAGACTCTCGTGGTGGGATCAATGTTCTAAAATGGGCTAGGTGTCAGTCCAACGCTAGGGGGCATCTAGACGGGGATTAATCGTAGTCATAGAAGTTATAGTCTTATCAGTATTTTTGCATAAAAATAATTACTAATGTTGTATTTGTGTGTTTGTATAAAAAATATATACACATACATGCACTTAATATGGCTGAATGATAAGAGTTGTCACTTTTAATAATATATTATACTTACTTAACTTCATTATGTATTAAATATTACTATCTCCGTCCCGCTATGATTGTCCTATTTTACCTTATCGGTCTGTCCCACTAAGATTGTCTCATACCAAATTTGGCAAATTTTGTGTGACTCTAAATCATTCTTACTTTATTTTTACTTTATCAATTCAATATCAACCACATAAACTACTTTTTATTGATTTGCGTGTCACTCCCTCTTGTCCCATTGTTAGCGGGACGGAGGGAGTACTACGTACGAAATAATAATACTTCGTAACATTCAAAATTACATACAAACATGTAATGATTTTATCTTAATCTACAACTAGTAGATATCCTCATATGTGTTGTTAAAGTTAAAGATACATATATCTTTTAGAAAAGGGAAAAATAATTCAAACACCCCAAACTTTGAAAGAGTGTGAGATTAACACCTCAAACTTGCATGTGTATTTTAAACACCTCAAACTTTACATAAAAAGTAACTTTTTTAGCACCATGGTCATATGTTGTTGTTTTTTCAAAAATGTAAATTTATGGTAATAATTGCATAATTTAAAATATTTTTATTTCAATTACTAACCGTTGCAACTGTATAGGCTGAGGGTACGTCATATTATTTATTCACAATGGAAGCTTAGAATGTTAATTATATCTTCACAAATGCTAAAAAAATTAAATTATGCAATTAACACCATAAGTTTATATTTTTGAATGAAATAATATATAATCATGGTGTTAAAAAAAACTTTTTATGTAAAATTTGAGCTATTTAAATTACATATGCAAGTATGGAATATTACCTCACACTCCCTCAAAATTTAGAGTATTTGAATTATTTTTCCCTTTAAAAAACTAAAATAAAAAAAAGCAAAAAGAAATGTTTGGCGAATCCAAGGGAAGATCTATGTTAGGGCTATGGTGGGTTGAGCCAGGGCAAAGTTAAAAAAAAATTAAGGTATTCATTTTTTAAAATTTTCATCCAGCCCACCCTAAATTTTTCTATAGCCCAGTCCAAAATTTCAGTCCAACCCATAAAGCAAACTTTTACTATCTAAAAATTAAAAAAAAAACTAATCTAAATGCTATACGCATCACGTACAACAGGGCCGGCCCATGGGAGGGGCAACCAGTTCAATGGCACAAGGCTTCAAAAAATAGAAAGCCCAAAAACATTAGTAGTAGTATTAACTAGGTAGCCGACTAGCCCAAATTCAATAAAAATGAAGAAAAGTACTAGGTTAATAGTCCTGCTTGCGTCTGGGATCAAGCGGGCAAGTCTTCTCCCTTTGACCCTTCGTCGTCGACATTGCGATTTCCGCAAGGTAGCAATCCGCGCATCAGTCGAATTCGATAAACCCATTCAATTCATGTTGATCGAGTCGCTGCCCACTTCAGGACCCAAGCGTCAACATCTGTCTGTGACTCTGTGTAACCGTGTAGGCCCGCTTGTCAAACTACAGTTGAGCATCATTATCACTTTGATGTTTTCAACGAGGCAATAGGCTTTGTATTGATGGAGTGAAGGACCCAATTTATTGATAAATCGGTGGAACTCTTTTTTCTTGGAGTGCTTCATTTGATCCCAAAAATTCATGAGTCATTCAATGCCACCGATTCTATTTATACTCTTGCAAGGAAGATCTATCCTAAAGATTTTAGTAGTCAGGATATTCGTGCTTTGGAATTCGAGCTGCAACATTATGTTCATGGTGTGATTCCTGATACAAAGTTTCAAGTATCTACACTTGTTGAATTATGCGAGAAGTTGACTAAGAGAAGAAGATCAAATTCATATGTTATGAGGAGCAGGTTGATTCGCCTTGTAATAATCTTAACAGTTGTTACTGCAACAACAGAACGATCATTTTCTGCATGAAACTTCTAAAGACAACACTCCGCAACAAAATGACGGATGACTTTCTTGCCGATTGCATGACACTTTATATTGAAATAGACCTTAGTCTTAATATAGATGTAGACTTGTCAAAAAAACTCTATTGTTGACGCGTGTTTTGTTTCAAAGCCTCATCGAGGACAAATTTAGTGGAGAACTCTTATATTTGATTCTTTGCTTATTTTGAAAATTTTCAATGTATTATCATTTAAGTGTTTCAGCCCACCCCAACATGAAATCCTGGATCTGTCCCTCGGTGACTCTGAATGCTCTAGACGGACGATTAAGCGATTTGAGTAGAGAACTAGGCGCTCTAAGCGACTAAATAATTCCCCTTGATGCCAAATTAATTAATCGAGCGCCCTAACGCTTAGAGCGGTGAATTAAAAACTATATTATTGAATAGCAATTATGATATTCCGTAATAACGATGATAATAATAATTGCTGCATCCATCCGGTCACAAATCTTGAACAGTATGGTCTCTCCGACCAGCCCCAGCCCCAGCCCCAGCCCCATACACGCTTCCAGTTTGTCCAAGTTCTGTGTTTCATACAAATGTCAATACTTATTAGTTATAACACTTCCTGACTAAAAAGTAGGGCCATGTTTATAGTGGTTGCTAGTTGTTTTTATAATAATAATAATAATAATAATATATAATTCTAAAAGTTACATACTCCGTATGTAATTAATAAACTCAAATTAATATACTTGTACTAATCGTTTTTGTTTTGAAAAACAGTCAACATCAAATTAAATTTCAGAATTTATTCGTTTCTAAAGTCTGGGGTTTTATTAAAAAAAGGACATAAAACTTGCAACCCATCTAATCGAGTCTAAGGTGAAAGGGGTTTCAATGTCTTTTTTCGTTTATTTAGTTTTTTCTATTAATAAATAATTATTTATTATTTAGTTTTTTTTAGTCTAATAGTTTTTTCTATTATATTTAGTTAAATATCACTAACATTATAATATGATGAGGATGTTGTGTGGTTATTAAGAAAAGTAAATTTATGTGATTGATAATGAATTGATAAAGTAAGAATGAATTGGAACAATAATTTTTTTACCAAATTTGATATGAAACAATCTTAGTGGAACGAATTGAAAATGAAAAATAAAAACAATCTTAGCAAGACCGAGAGAAATGTATCAGAGTTCCAAATAATTGATTTGTTCCCACATTATTCGAAATATACTTTACAGTACAGAGGCCAGCTTTGAGATTGCGTAAATGCGTGTGTGTGCATAGGCAGGGGCGGATCTGCTTTGTTCAGGAGTGTTCATGTGAACACCCAAAATTTTAAAAATGCAATACAAAAATACATGTTAAGAATTGTTGTAATAATTTTTTATGCAATAGCTTAGTGGTAAAATAAATTTGAACACCCCAAATCTGATTGCAAGATGCGCCCCATGTATGAACTATGAATAAAGGAGCTTTGTCCAAACGCCATGTCTCGACAAAGGCTAAAAATCAAAATATTTTCGATATGCATGTATTAAATAAAAACATGCCGCGCAGTTCAAGCCGGGCCCGGTTCAATTTTTTTTTCAATTTTTTTTTTGCTTTTCTAGGTTAGGGTTGGGTGTTTGGGGGGGGGGGGGGGGGATTTGGGGGGTGGGGGTGAAGGGGGGGTCGGGTGTTAATTAGAAACCAAAAAAAAAAAATTGAACTTGACCCGGACCCGGCCCGGCCCGGTTAGGCCCAGACCCGGTATCAACCCGGACCGGTTCCAGACCCAACATTTTGCAAAAAAAGCCCGCCTGGGCCTGGCCCGGAACCGGAGCGGGTCCATCCCTAGCCTAGAGGATTATACTATTGTAAATACTAATTCTCTTAAAAATGTTTGTGCTTAAAATTATCTAAATGAGTTGAGAACATGAATAAAAATCATTATATGCATATGATCTGAACTCTCAAGACTCAAGTGTTTACAAGGTTTCAATTAAAACTCTTGAATCTGGACAGCTGAACTAATAAAACCAGAATCAGAGCCGTCCCAATATGACTCGTATCATATATCATGAGCACATGGCAAAAAAGTGCATTTATTTCACCGACCCTTCTTTCACGGAGTTATTTACTTATTTATGGTGCCATCCAAAACCTTAGTCACATTTACAATTGCAATATGCCAATATACACAGATTTGAATTTTAATAAAAGAAAAAAAAAAAAGCTCACACAAACTAAAGAACAAAACCAATTCCATAAATGCTTATTTCTGGGCCGGGGGAGCTTTGGTGTCTACAATTGATGTAATCTTCTTTAGCAGCTCCGGCTTGTTAGCTCCCACCAGTTTGTCGATTTCTACCATTTTGTCACTTCCTGGTCCGCTTTTAAGGAAGAAGAAGGTAGGAGTTGCTTTGATGTCCCAGGTTGTAGAGCTGAAATCCTGACCATGTCCAACCACAAATGCCAATCCATAAAATTATTTCAAACTAAGCAGTCAAACCGCTACTCGGTGTCTTGGTACCGCTACTCAGTCAAAAGTCCACACGGGACGACTATAAGGGTCTAGGGAGGAACTATGGATTACTTCCCCCACAGGGGCGGACCCACCCTAGGGCTAGGGGGTGCCCGTGCCCCTGCGGTGATTTATATATATATATATATATTGGAAAATTCTCAGGTCCAGCACTTCCCGGTCCGAACGCCGTCCAAACACCGCCGTTTGGGGCGCTTCCGGGTGGAATTTTTTGATTAAATTTTTTGAGCATGTTCCTCATCAAGTCTAGTTTATTCATGCCGAATTTCAGGTCAAAATTCGACCGTGGAGGCAGTCAAATAATTCGTTGAAGTGAACTGCGTTTTTCTATATATAATTTGGCGCAGTTAACTTCAACGAATTATTTGACTGTCTTCCCGATCGAATTTTGAGTTGAAGTTTGGTATGGATAAACTAGACTTGATGAGGAACATGCTCAAAAATTTTCGTCAAAATATTCCGCCGGGAACCGCCCCAAACGCCGGTGTTCGGACGACGTTCGGACAGAAAAGTGCTGGACAGAAAAGTTATGCCGATTGAGACTTATGATGTTAATATTAGAGATGAGTTGATGAGACGTTATTTGAGAAAAGGTCCTTGCCAACCGCGTGACTTTAAATTTCCACAAAGTGATTTTAATGGGTGCAACAGATCATTTCAAAAACAGTGGTTTTATTTAAATTTTATAGTTTTGTTTATTGCTATACTCGTGATGCATATAATTTTTTTCTAGACTAGTATATCATTTCTTTGTTATTGTGCCCCTGCGAGTCACGAGTCCTGGTTCCGCCACTGTTCCCCATGCATGGTATAATTTAACACACGTGCCTCAAATTTCTAGTAATACTAGTCTTGTAAGTCTTGCCCACACACAAAGCAAAAAATGAACAATAAAGAATTAAGGGGCATAATTCATAAAGCATTTAAAAAAGATATCACCATCTAATTAATCCTAACTTCTTATAGATTAAACTATTCATTATAAAGATCAGCATGATCTCCAATCTCAATCATGTCCAAACTCCAAACACATCTTGATATTTGTATTTTTATGAATATTAGAACCTTGAAAAAATATTTTATAAATTTGAAGTCTCTAACTTCTATTGCAATCCCACAATGATGAAAGTTTTATTTCCAATTTAAAAGTGAACAAGTTATTCACCATGTCTGGTACTTGCGGTGTAGGTAAACAACTCTGACAATTTCTAGGACTGAGTAGCAAGTGATCAGCAATTAAATAATTAAATTTAAAAGAAAGGCCTCATGTGTTACTTGGACTTTCTGCATTATGATATGTCCAACTACACCATGTATAATTGTCAATATAATACCCTAGAAAAGTGTAAATATAGGACCTTGTCTGGATGGAGGAAATTTGGTTAAATAGGGCGGAGTTGCTTAAATTGTGATTGAAAAGAATTAATGAGCTCAATTACGTTAAACAATCTAAAAATTTATTTTAAAGAATCAAGTTGTAAAAAAGATCAAGCGTAATTTATATCTTCATTTCGGTCAAAAGTAACTTCTACACTATTTTCTAAATACAAGGCAGTTCAACTAATGAAGCCACATAACTCAGTTTTGTAGGAAAACTAACCAGTTAGTCAAGTAATGTATTGGCAAATGCACTCTATGTATGTAAATACTCTCATCCCTTACAAATATACATCAACACTTGTGCTAGACAACTTTTCAACTCAAAGCTTGTGTTTTTTGTTAAAGCTATTACGCACTTTTCTAAATGCCTCTTTTCACAACTCATAATTGTTAGCTCAAAATCATAACTGGTTTTGAGTTGACATGTGATAACTCTGACCGTGTAACAGAAGTTTTTCTTTAGACACATTAATTATCAAGGAGATATACATTACAAATTCAGCCCAAGCAATTTCTATTATATATATGTACACAATCCCATCATGTAGTCTTTATTGATTTGGTACAAGGGAGGTAATAATTAAAAATTAAAAGAGGTGGGAAAATGGTTACCCTAAAAACGCTTCAGGAGAAAAAGGGAGTCTACTTCCTTAGATGTTGTTCACATTTATATATAGTATTTAGGCTTGATATTAATTGATTTACTAAGATAGAGTTTCCTTAGTTGAGGATTCTAGTGGCATAGTTATATTAAGAACCTACCTTTTAAAGGCTCTGGATGTAAGTATATACACACATTCAGCTTTTGCAGAATAATACATGGTTGTTTTCAAACAAAAAAAACATGGTTGTCTTCCTTGCCCTCTTACCGTAATACAGCAGAGTACTGAAATGAGAGAAAATGTAAACCATAACTCAATTTTAATTATGTACTCACCGAAAGTTCATCAACATCAACAGTGAGAAACATCAAAGAAGGATGTTTCTCGGAAAGCTCAGAGTATAGGGGTGCAATTGTTCGACATGGACCGCACCATGAAGCACTAAAATTTGCCACAACCTGCAAGACATTAGCACAAGAGTCCTGAGCCTCAAACACTTGACTAGATGCAAACAAACAACATGAACGATAGTTTATTGAACAGATGATAATTACAATTTTGCCATCTTTTTTTGCTTCTACCATCTTCTGGTTCCAACTTTCTTCATTCGTGATGAGTTGAACATTTCCTCCAGCAAGTTCAACATGACGGTCCGAGTCATCCCCATCAGTTTTGGACTTCTGTGGCAATTTATGGACTATGTTATTTACTCATTCCCAAAATAAAGCATTTTTCATACATAGGCTGCTGACACTAATTGATCAAAATCTTCCTGGATTAGAGCATACATACTGTTAATCATAAGGTTGTGGATCACTTAACCCTAAAGAGGTATTGAGATGTTAGAATTGTCTAAATATAACAAACGGGTTTTGTCTTTCATGGATTGATTCATGTTAGCCGACCCCAAAATCTTTTGGGATTAAGGCTTGGATGTTGTTGTATTTGGCTAAAGGAGAATATTTTCAACACACATTTCCATCATTTGCAATGGAGCCAAAGATTCATTATTTTTTGGCTTGAGATTGTGATGGAATAAAGCAAAATGGCTCACTAAATTGTCTGCGCTTCTTTGTTATGAAGCAGCAGTCAGTCCATGCAATTTTGGATGGGATTTTCACTATGGGTCATCCGGAAACAGTCTCTCTGTGCTTTAGTACAGGGGTAAGACTGCGTACATCCGACCCCCCCTTACCCCACCGTAGGTGGGAGCCTTTGTGGCACTGGGGTAAATGAAAAAAAAAAAAATTGCTATCAAAATCTACTTCCTTTCAGTGAAAATGTTTACTGTCAACTTATCAGTCCATTCAGCATTACTAATGGACCCAATAGGCCAATACCCTTGCAGGTGGGTATAATGCAAATACAGCTTACAGAAAAGAGGCATGGAAATGGAAAAAATCATTTGAAGTACTTAGAAGTACTTCTGCACTTTCACCCAAACACTATCATATCTGCTTTTGCTCTCTCAAAAGAAGCAGTTTTAAGAATTAGATCCAAACACCCCCTACGAAGCAGACCACCCAGATACTACTAGCAGCAATAACTTATAGTCATAAATTTCTTAACCACAGCGAAAAGAAAATGTGCAACTAAGATGAATAGCGCTGAAGAGTGAGAAAATAAGATGTAACCATTACAAATTTGATGTTATTAGTCTAGCCCTGTGAGAGTTGCCTTACATAAATAGTTCTTACATAGTAAGCCAATATCCTCTTTCTAAATAAAAGGCTAGGTAGACAAAACTCGAAAGGAAACATTTTCCTAAATTAAACTTCCCTTTTGGTAAGGGTTATTTGGCCGATAGAATTGTTCAGTTTTCTTAAGTGTTTCTTAACATCCATTTCAGCAAAATTGCATAGGTCAATCAATATGCTGATTAGCATAATAGTCGCTGTTGACTACCAAGTACCAACAGAATCTAAGGAAGACAATTGAAGCCATCAAGAGCATAACTAATGGCAGGATAAGAAGTTGATATCTTTAATGCATCATCATGTAAAAATTGGATACATAGACAAACCTTGGGCTCAAAGCATCGTTTGGGTAAGATGTTCCCCATTGTCTATCACAGGCAAATGTTAAATTCTTTCTAATTATCACCACAACCTCGGATTAATAAAACTCCCACCGCCTAATGGAATCTGGAAGTGCCAGTAAAAGTAAGTAAAAAAACGTCCATGAGTTCAATTAATGAAGAAAAAAACATCCCAGAATAGAATCATCATAAACTCTTGTGGCTGATGATTAGGGACGTCTGGTAGAGGAGGATTGATATTTGCTTTACTAAATTATCTATATTTTCAGTCTTATACGAAAAGTAATATATTTTGATATATCTGTTCACATAATGCATTTTTATACTACGTATAATTTTTGGAACTCAGTTTTTTCCAAACCTCTTAATATATATCCATAAATTAATACTAGTAAACCATTATCACCCTCCCCTTCTGTCCTTCCCAAAGCCCTCAACCAAATAAGGGCTAAGAACCCAGATCTGGAGTTCAATGCTACTCTCTATAAGAAGACAATTTCTAAGTAATAAAGATTGCACCAGCTCCATACCAGCAATAACTTCAAAGAAGAAAATTAAAGTGTAAATACAGATATATACGAAGTATGTATTTTAGGATTGAAATGTACTATTAATAGTAATATAATTATTATCCTTGAAAAAGAAAATAGGTTACGAACCAGAGAAAGGCTTCGCGGTGCTTGCTGTCTGAGAGATTTGCTGGACTGGGGACTTGAAGCTTGCAATCCAAAAGAAGATTGGAAGTCTCTGCTCAAAGCGATTTCCGCGTGAACAGTGTTAGAACACGTTTATTGACCCCCCGAGCTAAACTGCAAAAGTACATTTTCTAATTACCCAAAAAAACATTCTTAACATGGAAATTTGGAAAGTAATTGTCCTTTAGACTATTAATGGACTTGTTGCAAAAGTGATACTCCGGTTCAAAATGCTATGGAAATTTATTTTTTTATACTCCCTATGATTCTTACATTTACTTGGTTCAAAGTAAAGTAGATATGTCAAACATGTGATTTGATACAATGTGACACTTTCAGAGAGAATGTCACATGTTTGAAATTCATTTCAATTAAGAATCAAGGATATTGACATTTAACATTAAATAGGTACTATAAGAGACTAGAAAGTTCACCAAACACCAATAAATAGAGTAAAGATAAAAAAATTGGCAAAATGGTCAAATAAGCTCACGTACTAACAAAAAGGCCAAATAAGCCCTTATATAGGAGGTTCTGTCCGGCCGTCGTCATTTGGGACAGTTCCCGGTGGAATTTTTTGATAATTTTTTTTGAGAATCTTATTCATTAAGTCTAGTTACTCATACCAAATTTCAGCTAACAATTCAATTGGAAATGCATTCAAATAAATTCTTGAAGATAATTGTGCTTCTAACTACGCCATTATCTTCAAGAATTCATTTGAATACCTTCCTGGTTGAAGTTTTAGCTGAAATTTGGTATGAGTAAGCTAGACTTGATGAATAATATGCTCAAAAAGTGCATCAAAAATTTCCACCGGGAACCGCCCCAAATGGCGACTGCCGGACATAGCTTCTTATATAAGGGCTTATTTGACCTTTTTTGGTTAGTACGTGCGCTTATTTGCCCATTTTCTTTAAAAAAATATATAGAACATGGTTTAGCTCTATTTTCAAATGTTGTAGCTATTTTAAAATCAACGAATGTAAATAAAGAAGTTTTTCCTAAAATATTACTAATAACTAAAATTGTATTTAAAATTGTATTTAAAATTGTTATCATAGTGAGTACTGTATACTTTAGTAATAACTATGATATCAATTTTGAATACATTTATAATCACTAAAAATTATTGGCGAAATTGACATCAATAATCCATACTTTTACAAATTTCACAAAAATAATCCATACTTGAAAAGATCACAATGAGAATCACAGCTACTTAACTATTTTACATAAATAAACCGAGTGCTAGCGGTGTTAAGTTTCCGTTATTTTTTTTATATATTGACACAATATAGATTTTTTCCATCATTTGCAATGAAGCCAAAGATTCATTATTTTTTTACTTGAGATTATGATGGAATAAAGCAAAATGACTCACTAAACTGTCTGCGCTTCTTTGCATTACTGGGGTAAATGAAAATGAAATGATTGACACAATATAGATATATATAAACATTAACAACATTATATTCGAGTTTATCTTGTTTCTACTAAAAAATTAATTTCATATTCAATAATTTTCACACGTTACCAAAATAATAGGAATATTTGAATACTACATAGTACATACTTTTCCAATTCTCTTTTGAATTAATTCCACTTTTGGTCCTACGGGTTTTGTGTCATTTCCATCTTTAGTCCACGTCTTTCACTTTATCCACTTTTGGTACTTGACTGGTGTTTTTTAACCATTTATGGCCCTTTTCCGGCGACTTTAACCATCGGAAACAATGCCGGAAGGACCATATGTGGGCGAAAACACAATAGTCATGTATCAAAAGTGGACAAAGTGAAAGATGTGGACTAAATGTGGAATTGACATAAAACTCGTAGGACCAAAAGTGGAATTTATTCATTCTCTTTTATTACTTAGCCATATTTTATTTATATTCATTTTTGTTATTCATTATGGTAGAGAATTCAAAATAGTTTTAGTAATACTACATTAAATATTAAAACAAATTTTGTAGAATATTGAAAATTTAATGAAAAATATTTTATGAAAAATATTAAATATTAAACTAAACTTATCATAGAAAGATTAAACTCAAATATAATGTTATTAAATTTTATACATATTTTTGCTTTGATATACTTCCTCCGTTCTTAAATAAATGCAACGGTCAACATTTCACACTTGCCGAGACACAACTTTGACCATTAATATAAATGATTTTGTATTAGTAAAAAAATTAAAAAAATTAGATTATGAAAATTTACAATGAGACAAGTTTAACAATATTATTTTCATAAAATAATATTATTACATTAATAAATAAAACGTAGTCAAAGTAGAACATGTGAATAGTGTAAAAGTCAAAGTGTTGCATTTATTTAAGAACGGAGGTAGTATAAAAAAAAATAACGGAAAAGTTAACTCCGTTAGCCCTCGGATTATTTTTGTGAAACAGTTAACTCGTAAGAGTTATTTTTGTGAAATTTATTAGTAGGAATTATTTTGGTAAAATGTGTAAGAGTATGGATTAGTGATGCCAATTTCGCCAAAACTATTTAGTCACATTTTTATTTAATACAATTATTTGATCATACACATGCCTAGATTTTCGAAAGGAAATAACTTCTTTTTTTTATTCGATTTTAACAACTGGTTATGTCAGATACGTTGGTTGCGACACGTCAGTAAAACCCCAAAAGCTGAGGGAAAATCAGTTACGATCCACAGCTTCATTGACTGCGACCGGAAAAATCCATGGTTGAAGACGCTAAAGAGAATCGCGAAATCGACTGAGATACACGTTGAAGACGCTGGAGGGGATCGCGAATTCGACGGAGATTGACGGACATATATAGTGATAAACGTTTGTTCACGATCAGAGGTATGTTTAGTTTTTATATATGTATATGTATGTATCGGTGGAAGGAGAATGATGTGAAGGGGGAGAAATTTATAGAGTAATAACGGTGCGAGTGACGACTAGTTTGATATAGTAACTTATTATTCCGGAAACATATGGATTTTAGTGATACATGTAAAGATAGTGTTGATTGAATATTAAGACAAAATTGTCAATGTACAAGGAAGGTTGTGGTTATGAAAGTAAGGAGACTAGTGACTGTAGTATCGGCCGTGTAAATAGGAGAAAGAGATGGAGTGTGAATTAGCTAGTAGTTATGTTGCGAATATGGTTTTGTGAATTTGAACGTGTACTGGGCTGATAAGTCCATATTTCAACACGCATTTGAAATATGTTGGAATCGGCTTTTGATGGTTTTCCTAGCTTAAATGTGTCATGAGACTCATAATTAGTTCAAGTCATATTTTACCGGGTTTTGGTTTGCATTTGGTGTTTTGAGAATTAAAATAAGGAAATTGAGCCCAGCACCGGAATTAGAGAATTAATCGGGAGGACTCGAGACACATTTGAGAGTTATTGAGAAGCATTGAAGGTCCACGAAGCATTAAAGGAGTGATTTTGAAGTCAAGAGAGCTCAAGGATCAAGTACGAGATCAAACGGGGACAAATAGAGCTTGAAAACGGCGATCAGGATGGCGTTCCGTCAATCGTTCAAGCATATCTTTTTTAGAAACATTCAAAGTACGCGATTAAAGTTCCATATGAAAGCTAACTTCAAGGTCTACAAATCATATGAAGACACCATGACGAGAATCTGAGAGGAACAAGGTGAAAAGAGACGAGGAAGTCAGATAATTGTTGTTGAGATTTCAGGATGCGACCTTCCACAATTTTATTCATATCTTTTGATTGGATGATCCAATTCAGGTGAGCAAGAGTATCTTGATTCATCAGTGAAACATATTAAAAACATTGGTATAGGTACAACAGTGGGCATGTGTAATTAGTAAAGAAAAAATGTAGTGTTACATAGTGACTAATGATGTCACTTTGTAGTGACATTGATGTCACTATACTGTGACATATATGAGTGACTAATGTTGTCACTAATCCTATGTAGTGACTAATACTGTCACTTTACAGTGACGAATTATTGAAGGTATAGGTATTTCAGTAGTGTAGGCCATACTAATTTGAGTATGATAGAGTAAATAGAAAGCAAAAATAACAACTAACTTACTTGAGACAATGTGGATACAAAGCTTAATACCTCCATTTGGGCAGTAGTATTCACTGAGATAGAAGCATCACCTAACCTGTTGTATGATGAATATTCTGAATCAATGTTTTATGAAAAAATAGGGAACAGAATGATGAATGAAACAACAAAAAGTATGATGTAAAGGACTTACATTGCCCTCAAGCATTTCATAAGCTATGTTAATTGTTTGGGTCAAGACGATCTCACCATTCCCGTCATTTCCCTCATTTAATGCTAAAGGTGTAAGTGAAATATGAAAACCAGGCCCAACAACCGGAGAAGCCATGGTGGACTTTTCAGTGCATGCATTTGTAGGGTGTAAAGCAATAGGATCAATGGCCTCTGGAGGTGTGTGACTGGTAGACTGAAAGGGCTTTACCAACTGCTGAACAAAAGAATTGAATTTGGTAATAGCTTCTTCTTGAACTTTGAACTTCTGCTCATACAAACAAATCTCATTCTTCAGTGTCTCTATTTGTTTTTCAGCTGCCAGAAGTCCGTCTCTTAAGTCTTCATGGACAGCCTCACATGTAGCAGAATAAGAAGTGGAGTGGTTGTTGGTGGATGGAAGATTGATTGCTTGTTTTAGTTTGAGTGATTTGGAGGATGACATGGTACGAATGGAGGGTTGAGTTTGGGGAGGCAAGAGGAGATAAGATGGTGTCCTTGACAGGTTTTGTTGGAGGTAATCGAAGGCGATTATTCTTGTTTGTTTTTGGTGGAGGTGGGCTGGGTGGTTTTGACTTGGAGGATGAAGTGTTTGTGGTAGGACTTGTGGGTGGTGAAGGAGGCTTAGACGCTTAGTACGAGTGGGGTCTTTCGTGGGCGATGAAGATGGGATGGTTGAGGCAACGTTGGGTAGAGTGTGTTTGTTTGGCTTTTTTTCTCAAACTTCTGTTTTGAATAGGGACGCCATTGTGCGGATGCATTGGGGTGTACACAAATCGGGGAAAAGAGAAATTTTAAAAGGGGTTAAATCAGTGTCATAGTGAAAGGTAATTTAAGAAATGATGACAAATTAAAACCACATC